ATAACTGTCTCCGCCCGTCTGCTCTAAGAGTACGGAGTTGGTCCTTACGTCACCGGTTTGAATCCCACTGTGGGATGTGGAGACCAGTCCTTCGGATTAGACCTTATAAACTGAAGTACCGTGTCGCAGTAAGTGCTCAAGTAAAAGTAGAGTAAAAGCTCAAGTAAGTAAAAGCATCCACTGCTCCATGGCCTTATTCAGTGTTGAGTATAGGAAAAAATTTGCAGCTCTCCAACGGAAATTGGTGATATCTCCATATGAGTGAAAAATTCTCAAGATAAACAGCATACAAAACAAAGCAAACATACTCCATATACTGTTGCTCTTAGTTAAAAAACATTTTCTTTATTGAACAACAAATTCTAAGTTCAAAATGTTATAATGGACTACACTTGATAGAGTCACATTCCTGTTTAAACAAAGTAGATATCAATACTACAAGCTCTCTGTTACCTACAAAGGTATCTTGGTACATTATTAATTAAGTATTTCCAGTGGGATCAACATCATTTGAATATATGTCATTGTGATATAGAGAGTCAACGTCAATATATATGCCTGGGGTATCTCCAGTTTTTGTGACTGTCTATGGTGATATAAAGCTGATTGCATATGAAGCATCCAGCAACCTGCACAATCATATGACAATGTACTTTGCAGGTTCCTCCAACTTTTCTTTAGACTTGAAAAGCTGGAGGGTATATATAAGCGGGATGTCTGTCCGTCTGTTACGCTTTGGGGTACCCATCTCTTATCTGAAACTCCTCTCATACCACTGAATGTAATTTGATGAAACTTTCACAAAATCTATATTACATAGTGCCATTGTGTACCTCCTATTTTACTTTTTGATCCAATAACACATATTTAGGGTTTCCCAGAGCAAGCCATGGACACTGCCCTTATATTCATATGGGAGGAGGGGGTATCATTTAGTGAGCTCATTGCTCACAGTACCTCTAGTTTAAACACACATGCCTTTATGGTATTAACCCTATCAGCAAGGTTTGGTTCGGAGGGAGGGTTTGGTATAGTAACTAAATACACACACACACTCCGTTCAGGAAAAAACAAAAGCATTGATCCTCTTTGTAAAAAATTTAATTTCAAAGTAACAAAATATCAATACATTGTACCACAGGACATGGTGATGAGCTAGACATTTATTTCATCATTAAAACACAGCACAGACACTCCGAAAACTATGTACATTTTATATATTAGTTAAAAAAAGCAATGTACATTATATTTCTTAAATAACAAAAATATTGCATACACATTTGTCATAAAACTTCATGTACATCATGTATGGCAAACACACCATATGAATATTTTATTATTCTACTATTGTACAACTTCAGTGACTGACACCCAAAAATTATCAAGTTTAATAACTATTATTCCTCCATATAAGAAATTAAACAGAAGTATTCCTGTCACTTTTAAAATGAAAATCTTGTCTCTCTTAAATCCAGTTGATAACTAGCCTGCCGAGAATACATTAGAGAATATGTTGTGATAACTTTGTGTTAACATCAAGCTGTTATCCTCCTATAGTTTAAAACTATTATTTTTAAGATCAAATATTAATGGTCTGGTTGGAAAAGTGGCAACAAATCAAAGTAAAACACCATCTATCAACCTCAGTAAGTCTAAGGTTACACATAAAGTCATCAAAGCCAGATTAACAACCGACAAGTTGAATATATTTTAATAAGTACAAAGCACTGAATTCGTCTCTCCTTCAAAATTTAACTTGTGTTTCTCAAAAAAAAAATTCATCCTTTAAACTTTTATGTATTCATGTGTTTAGTAAAAAGTTACAATAATATGCATGAAAAGGGCAAACTTTTTTTGCAATCTTACAATTTTCTAACAGCATTTATGAATCCAATTTCGGTTGGAAAAAAATTTGCACTCAAAACAAAAATTTTTTTCACACAAATTTGCACACTGATATTAGTATGAAAAAAGATTTACATTCTATAGTACATGTATTGTTTATTCCTTTATTATTTCAAAAATTGAATTACCTGATCTCTTATAGCACATAAAATTCATGCAGTGCTTTCCTTCTAGTCAACATGTTTATATATTGGCATGCAACAACTGTAATGGGACTCATTCCAAATACTAGTATGAAATTAAAATACTCAATTTTATCATCTTTAAATTGATGCACAATGTAAAAAAAAGATATTGATTCTAATTCATAAACAATGCTACACGTATAAATACCCCTATCATTTCTGGCTGGATGTTTTGACTACATGCAGAATTTCTGACTCAGCATAACTCTTACATTATTTAGATAAGTTGACTACCATTTCACCCTCACAAATTCACTATACACTTATATCTCCATTTAGTTTTGATCAATTGAACAAAAACACTAGTATTTCTTATCAATTCTTAGAGCAAGTACTTTTAAGCAAAACAGAACAGACAACTTTCACATTTACAAGAGTAATTTCCCTTTACAGGGTCAATCTTGGGACTTATTTGGACAGTGTCTTACAAAAGGCATGCCTTCCTTGTTGACTGATACTGGGGCAATATAGAAATTTTATAAAAGTTAGGCTCCAAACATTTACAGGAATTAAAGCTGAATAAAACTATTGCTTATTTGGAGTTGTCTCACTGAAAATTACAATGTAACAATAGGATTCTGGGTTTGATGGCAAATACCGGTACTTTAATATAATAATTACAAATTGGAATTTTTTTTTCTATAAATGGAGACTATCATTTTATTAATAAACTTCAACTGGAAAAAAGTTCCTTTCCAGGTCTGAAACTCACCAGGTGACAATATTCAAAGATGGCTTAACTTTACACTGATATCCAGACAGACAATTTATTTTACACGTTAGGCCTTAGACAGGATTTTTTTGATACATGCATTATCACAAGTGTGAAGCCAATCTTCCTTGCAGAGTTGTCGTTACTCTCTCAGACAATGGGCTCTAGTCAAGATTTTTGGTAAAAGACAAGATATTCCAAGGATTATTTCACATTAAACTAATTGTTCTAGATCTATACTTAGTGAATATTTACTTTAGTGCAGGAATTTAATTAAGATGACCTGAAAAAAGTTGCACCCTATTTATTGTGATTTACACCGACAGTATGATATAAGGAAGCCATTGACGGAATTTACAAGCTAGCAGCAGAGAGTGGGGTGTCCAAGCATGGATGAAATTTTTGTTACAAATCCTGTTTCAAAAGTGAAATAAATTCCATATTTAAGTAGAAAACATTGAATTTTTTGTTTATCATATATTAGGCTGTCTAAGTCATTTCTTTGACATTTCATGTTATAGGCTTGAGTAGATTTTGGAGAAACTGATACAACTTGTACTTTGAATGAAGTATTTTTAAGTAATTTATATATATCAATTTTTATTTAAGCATTGAATTCATATTTTGGGATGTCTTCGGTCCTATAACACACCTGGCCGTGCCGACAAATTGAATACCGCGCTAATGTGCGGTATGATAATTTGTCGGCACGGCCAGGTGTGTTATTGGACCGAAGACATCCCAAAATATGAATTCAATGCTTATATTTACATTCTCTTATTTTTCCTCTTCATAATTGTTTATTTTGGTAATTTTTAATGTGTATTTAGCGCCCTTCAGAACTGGTGTGCTTTATAGATGTAAGAGTCGTTTTTTACATTTGTGACGTTGCAAAGTAAATAAACGCAAACGAACATTGCGAGGAAAAAAATGACAAATAAATTTTAAAAGCACATTAATTGTATTTTACGGTAATTTAACAGGATTAATTTTTTCTATTAAATTGTGTCAAAACAATGCACATTTTGGTTTTCCTAGAGTATTTAATAAAATACATATAGTCCCTACTGTGTATTCAAACGCGCGGTGAAAAGGTTTCGCGTGTGTTATAGAGATTTGAACGTCGTGGATTTCTAATGGATTTCATAATAAAATTACACTGAATGTAAATATACCAATATGAAGTACTTGGAATTTTTAGCTATTCTTTTGTTTTAACGATATTAATTATTTAAAATATAATAACAGCATTTTGATCCAAGTTTGCAAAAATAAGTTAAAGACAGAATGTTTAGAAAAAATTACCAATATTAAAAACATTTTCTTTACAACACTTTTTTTGGACTGGAAAAATAATTGAGATTTTTTTCTCTCACTCATACAAATAAACAGTGAAAATATTAATTTCACTTTTTTAAATGAATAAGTTACAGTATTTCATTGTTGAACATTTCACTAAGTGAGATAAAAAGTGAAAATATTAATTTCACTTTTATTAAATGAATAAATTACAGTATTTCACTGTTGAACATTTAACAAGGTCAGATATCAAGTGAAAATATCAATTTCACTTTCATTAAATGTCAGAATAAATTACAGTATTTCACTGTTGAACATTTAACAAGGTCAGATATAAAGTGAAAATATTTTCACTTTTATTAAATGAATAAATTACAGTATTTCACTGCTGAACATTTAACAAGGTCAGATATCAAGTGAAAATATTAATTTCACTTTTATCAAATGAATAAATTACAGTATTTCACTGTTGAACATTTAACAAGGTGAGATATAAAGTGAAAAAATTAATTTCACTTTTATTAAATGAATAAAATGCAGTATTTCCCTGTTGAACATTTAACAAGGTGAGATATAAAATGAAAAAAAATTAATTTCACTTTTATTAAATGAATTAATAAAATGCAGTATTTCACTGTTGAACATTTAACAAGGTGAGAAAAATGACTGTTAATACCCCAAAAAGGGAAATCTCTTAAGAATATGAAAGTTGTCTATTAAGTTTCATAAAAAATCAGGTTAAATATGATAGTTCTAGCACCAAAAAGTCTGAACTTGTTTACTTTGCATAAATTATATGAGGCTTTTCAACTTGTTGTACTATAAGTTACTTTCTCTAAATAAAACAAGTTATCTTTTCCTCATGTCTAATTCTCCTAATTGTTTCTTCATGCTTATCAGGGGATTTCTTTACAGCCGGCCAAATATTTCTTCCATTCCATCAGAAGTTAATACACTAGCTTCGATCCATTGTTAAGTCTACTTGAACTCGTGTTGAGATAGTGAGACTGCTAGCTCTCTCCCTGGTAATGCTTTATCAAATCCATCTTTTCCATTTAACCAATAGGTTTTCATTATTCCTTTTCCCTGTAATGAATTTGAATTTAACTTTACTATTGGATTTAAGATATGAAATTGTCCACATAAACAATTCTTGAGAAAAAACTGACAATCTATTTCTGCTTGCAGAGGATATTAGTCCTACCTTGACTTCTCTCTCTCCTCTACACTCCAGATGATACCCTCCCAACTCTTCTAAAATGGTGGCTGTACTCTGACTCATGTGGGCTCTCAGAGCTGTCAAACAACGAAAATATCACTTATATACAAGCTTCACAATTCTGTCTCACTCCGCAAAGGTATATAAACCAAGATGTAAAATTACTATTGGACAACACTACTCAATATTTGAATATACATTTATCTAGAATTCATTATTTAACATGAGGCAGAAGAGGATTGACAGTTTCATGAGTTTCATGGCTTCATCTAGGACTAAATCCCTGAATAAAGTGACACAAATTTCAGTAGTGGGTGTGTGTGTGTGGGGGGGGGGGGATCAAAGGTATTTCTTATCCACAAATTTACCTCTAAAATATAACTGAAATATTTTGAAAGTTTTTTGTGATAAGACATCTTTTAACAATATTACATCTCAACAAATGTGTAAATCTTAAACCTTACCAAATTCATTAAATAAAGAGATAGTCTGTAATTCACACACTCACCGACTGAGCTGGATTCCATTCTTGATGCTGTGTTAACTGTGTCCCCAAACAGACAATACCGCGGCATCTTAAGTCCGACCACTCCAGCAACACATGGGCCTGTAATTATAAAGAAATCACCACACTTATACAAGAGGTCACCACTCTTATACAAGGATCACCACACTTATACAACAGGTTTTGATACCTTAAATATGCACTTTTGATTTTATTTTCCTAATTATCTCCCCTTGATGTTTTATCATGTTGGTTCACATCCCCAATTTTAATATAAACAAGAGCCCTTTGGCCAAGGATGCTCTCTGACAAATTTGACAAAAATTGGTCAGGGGCTTCTTGAGTTATGGCACATATTCTAAACAAGAGGCCCATGGGCCTTATAGGTCACCTGAGTATCATGCAACAACTTTCCAACAATTGAATTTGATTCATGTTTTAATCTAGAAGCCATGAAATTAACAATTTTGAAAGAGGCACCAATATTGCTTATCATAATTATGCACTCAGCATACTTACTTTGGTTAGTAATACCCAGAGGTACATGAAGATCACAGTAACAAAGAGAAAATGCATTTCCACTTTATCATTATCAGTTGTTCATCCCATCCCACAGGAACCACTGACCCTGGGGCCATATCTTTCAAAATGTTGGAAATTTTATAAATTCTATTTCATTATGTTGTTAATACCAAAGTGCAGATTTCAAAGCATTAAATCATTTTCAGACCCCCCCCCCCCCAGCCAAGTACCTCTGTCCCAGGGGCCAGGAAATTAAGCATTTTTGGAAGAAGCAGCGTTCTTCGTCATAAATATATACTAAGATCATTGCCATAATACCCAGGATCAAAGGAAAAGATTTTCAAAAAATTTATGCATTTTCACTATATAAACATTAGAGCCACACCCTAACACAAGAATCCCTGACCCAGGGGCCCTGAAATTCACAAATCTCAAAGACGCATCCTTCCTCCTCATAACTATGTATATAGTTCATTGGTTTAATACCCAGGTGCAGAAAAGAAGATTTTTAAAGAGTTTATGCATTTTCATTATATAAACAATAGATCCCCGCCCTAACACCAGAACCGCTGACCCTGGGGCCATAAAATTCACAATTGTGGAAGAGTCACTCTTACTCATCATAACTATGTACTTAGTTAGTTTATTTAATACCCAGGAGCAGAGAAGAAGATTTTCAAAGAAATAATGCATTTTCACTATATAATCTATATAGCCCCGCCCTGCCACTAGAACCCCTGACCCTGGGGCCATTAGATTCACAATTTTAGAAGAGGCAGCCTTATTCAACATAACTATGCACTTGGTTAGTTTATTTAATATCCACAAACAGAAAAGAACATCAAAGAATTATTGCAATTTCACTACAATAATCTATATGGCCCCGCCCTAGCACTAGAACCCCTGACCCTTGGGTCATTAAATTCAAAATTTTGGAAGAGGCAGTCATTTTCAACTCAAGTATGCAATTGGTTAGTTTATTTAATGCCCAGGAGCAGAAAAGAAGAATTTCAAAGATATAATGCATTTTCACTATATAACCTATTTAGCCCTGCCCTAGCACTAGAACCCCTGACCCTGGGGCCATGAATTTCACAATTTTGGTATAAGACTTAATGCTGATTACAATCATACCAACAGTTTGACTGCTTGATGTCCAGGAGTAAAGAAGAAGATTTTTAAAGATTGCACTAATTTTAGTGGTTTTTGCCCCACCCCCCCAGGCCCCAGGGGGGCGGGGACCATGAAATTCACAATTTTTGTTCCCCTTCACCTATAGATGCTATATGCCAAATTTGGTTGAAATTGGTTGAGTGATTTCAGAGAAGAAGCTGAAAATGTTCAAATGTTAACGCATGACGACGGACGAAAACAGATAGCAATAGGTCACCTGAGTTTACTCAGGTGACCTAAAAAGTTTACATAAACCACACAAATGTTAATTGCTATAGTTCTTTGAACTTGTTTACTGTTCTAGTAATAACTCTAAAATTACCATATGCCCTTTACTTGAACAAACTAAGGTGTCCTTTTCCAAGATGAAAACAATACGTTCTATTTCCACTAGTGAAGAGTTATAGTTCATAGTGCGCTCTTTTGTGAAAAAGTCGGAGAATGTACAAATCTCGCGGGATTTCTGGGACATACGTAACATAAACATGTAAACAACATGTTGAAAGTCGATGAACAAATCCTAACAAAATGCATATGAAATATTTTATTGTTGTGGACTTCATTTTAATCAAGAGTAGAGATGACAAGAATATTAATTTACATCTATTGGTGATCGTGTGTATCTATTTATCGAAAAGGTACATTTAAAGACAATACACATACCTCGGAAACGTCGTGTATTTTATTAATGGGCGATAAAGTTAGGGTTTTCGCTCTCTTACATATATGTCTTTTAGTTATTCAATTCTTCAGTTAGAATGTCAAATGCACTTAACATTTAAAAGTGGATTGAGACTGACATGATTTTTATTATCCGCAACGCCATGCTGTCCCGGTCAGACGACCAAACGCGCCTCTAATTCTGAAGAGTTCACTAATGGAAATACAACGTATTCAGACAGTGAGACAAAATAATTATAAAAAACCCCACTGGACTGGTCTTACCTGAATGCATTCCACATCGTAGCTGCAGGAACTTCTCTGGCATGTGCCTGATCTTAAAAGTCAGTACAGCAGAGAGTAGTTCTAGGGACATTGTAGCAATCTCTCCAGCATGAAGATTACCATTTCTGATTGGTAAACCACTGACAACCATATCTATAAAAGTCCCTCAAACAAATCAACAATCATTTAAAAAACTTCTCACAACTGGCAGTCTCTACTTAAGGTTTCTGAGAAAGAAATAATCAATTATAAAACAGAATATATCTTCAATTTGTAAAGAAAATTCTTTGTGGGAAACTTACATGCATCACCAATGGTCTCTACTTTGTACACATCATAGTGGTCCAAAATAGCATCAAAACAAGTATAGAGATCATTGAGAAGTGTGACGACCTGGAACGGCGTACTGTCACGAGCGATGGCTGTAAAACCTACCAAGTCACTGTAAGACAAAAAACAAACTATAGGAGCTTCTGAGTCAATAACAGACCGAAAGGTCTAAAATTACTAATAGACAAAAACAAACAATAGGAGGTTCCATGACAAATAACAGACCGAAAGGTCTAAAATTACTAATAGACAAAAACAAACAATAGGAGGTTTCATGACAAATAACAGACCCAAAGGCCTAAAATCACTAATATAACTAGAACTGTCCAAACGGGACAAAATACCCCCGCTGGGTTTTTCAGAAGTGCTAAATCATATATATTTTATGGATCTAAGAGAAGAGAGAAATGCTAAAACATTTTTAGTGCAAATGTAATTGCAGCCTTAAAACCAGAAGTCTCTGTCGAGACTGAAGCTCTACTGGTTTGTACTTATAGCAAAGGAAGAGAAAAGTTCTTAAGCAGTTGGGAATTGAAACTTTACCACAGCAATAAAAAGAATAATGATCCTTGATTAAGTCTCTTTATGTACTTAGTGTAGTCTACTTGCATGCCACATTATATTATAATCACACTTAAACTGCAAGAGGAGTGGCATTTTGAGAGTTTTTAACAGAAATTTCTATTTTTAGTTACCATGGCAACACCGTTAATCGAAATCAAAAACCGACATACAGAATTATGTATCTTAGTGTAGTCTACTTGTGTGCAAAGTTATATTGAAATCAGACCAAAACTGTAGGAGGAGTAGCATTTTGAAAGAATTTCACAGAAATTTCTATTTTTAGTAACAACAGCAACACCGTTCATCGAAATCAAAAACTGATATAGAATTATGTATCTTAGTGTAGTCTACTTGTATGCCAAGTTATATTGAAATCAGACCAAAACTGTAGGAGGAGTAGCATTTTGAAAGAATTTCAAAGAAATTTCTATTTTTAGTAACAACGGCAACACCGTTAATCGAAATCAAAAACCGATACACAGAATTATGTATCTTAGTGTAGTCTACTTGTGTGCCAAGTTATATTGAAATCAGACCAAAACTGTAGGAGGAGTAGCATTTTGAGAGTTTTTAACAGAAATTTCTATTTTTAGTTACCATGGCAACATCTTTTATTGAAATCAAAAACCGATATATAGAATTATGTATCTTACTGTAGTCTACTTGTGTGCCAAGTTATATTGAAATCAGACTAAAACTGTAGGAGGAGTAGCATTTTGGAAGAATTTCATAGAAATTTCTATTTTTAGTAACAATAGCAACACCGTTCATTGAAATCAAAAACCGATACATAGAATTATGTATCTTAGTGTAGTCTACTTGTGTGCTAAGTTATATTGAAATCAGACCAAAACTGTAGGAGGAGTAGCATTTTGAAAGAATTTCACAGAAATTTCTATTTTTAGTAACCACGGCAACACCGTTCATAGAAATCAAAAACTGATATACAGAATTATGTATCTTAGTGTAGTCTACTTGTATGCCAAGTTATATTGAAATCAGACCAAAACTGTAGGAGGAGTAGCATTTTGAAAGATTGTTCACAGAAATTTCTATTTTTAGTAACATCGGCAACACCGTTAATCGAAATCAAAAACCGATACACAGAATAATGTATCTTAGTGTAGTCTACTTGTGTGCCAAGTTATATTGAAATCAGACCAAAACTGTAGGAGGAGTAGCATTTTGAAAGATTGTTTACAGACAGACGGACGGACGACGGACGCATTACTATCGCATAAGCTCTTCTGGTCTCTGACCAGTAGAGCTAAAAATAGACTCAATATACGGACCAGTCACGAATTATGGACTTTTTCTGTCAGTGACCTTGAACTTGCATAAATGACCTTGGTTCAAAGTCATGACATAACCTCAGGTCATAAGCAATGTTTGTGTGAAGTAGTAGATTCAAGTTTTTCCATAATAAAGAAAGATATGGACCGGACACAAATTATAAAATTTTTCTTCCAGTGACCTTGAACTTCCCCAACTGACCTTGACCCAAGAACACGATACATCCTTAGGTGTGGAGGAATCTTTGTGTGAAATGAGAACCTACCAAGTTTATGCATAAGAAAGATATGGACCGGACAAAAATTATGAAATTTTTCTTCCAGTGACCTTGAACTTTCCCAAATGACCTTGGGTCAAGGTCATGACACATCCTTAGGTTATAAGCAATCTTTGTGTGAAATAAGAACCTACCAAGTTTATCCATAAGAAAGATATGGACCGGACACGAATTATGAAATTTTTCTTCTAGTGACTTTGAACTTCCCCAAATGACCTTGGTTCAAGGTCATGAAACACCCTTACGGAATCTTTGTGTGAAATTAGAACCTACCGAGTTTATCCATAAGAAAGATATGGACCGGACACGAATTATGAAATTTTTCTTCCAGTGACCTTGAACTTCCTCAAATGACCTTGGGTCAAAGTCATGACACACCTTTAGGTTATAAGCAATCTTTGTGTGAAATTAGAACCTACCAAGTTTATCCATAAGAAAGATATGGACCAGACATGAATTATGAAATTTTTCTTCTAGTGACCTTGAACTTCCCCAAATAACCTGGGTCAATGTCATGACACACCCTTAGGTCATGTGCAATCTTTGTGTGAAATAAGAACCTACCAAGTTTATCCATAAGAAAGATATGGACCGGACACGAATTATGATTTTTTTCTTCCAGTGACCTTGAACTTCCCCAAATGACCTAGGATCAAGGTCATGACACACCCTTAGGTCATGGGCAATCTGTGTGAAAATGTGTGAAATTAGAACCTACCAAGTTTATCCATAAGAAAGATATGGACCGGACACGAATTATGATTTTTTTTCTTCCAGTGACCTTGAACTTCCTCAAATGTCCTTGGGTCAAAGTCATAACACACCCTTAGGTCATGGGTAATCTTTGTGTGGAGTAGTAGATTCTAATGTTCCTCCGTAAGAAAGATATGGACCGCACATGTTTGCACAGACAGACGGACGGACGGACAGCTAGACAGACGGACATGGTGATTCCTATATACCCCTCAAACTTCGTTTGCGGGGGGTATAAAAACAAACAATAGGAGCTTCCATGACAAATAATAGGCCCAAAGGTCTAAAATCACTAATAGACTAAAATAAACAATAGGAGGTTCCATGATAAATGAAAGAACATAGGTAATCAAAGATTACGAAGCTCACCTCGACGAATGTTATCAGTGTAAGTAATGCAAATCTCACATCATATTTTCTTAATATCTAGTATTTATCCCAACAACAATATTCTTGCAAGTTGTGTTTAACCTCTTACAGGGCATATACACATTTCTACTCATGTAGCGTGAAAAACATGTATAGTGTAAACAAATATTCATCAATTTGTTAATACTGCAGATATCAAGGTTCAAGTTCATTGGGATTAATCTGTTCCCAAAACTTTTAACCTGGACTCTTGTATGGAAAATATAGGTCAGATCCAGCATCCGAAGCAAGTCTGGTAGTGTCCATCCCTAGATGCATCATCCATGCAAGTTTGGTTCGGGTAGGTCTTATAATTCCTTGGGAAAATATAGGTCAGATCCAGCATCCGAAGCAAGTCTGGTAGTGTCCATCCCTAAATGCATCATCCATGCAAGTTTGGTTTTGGTAGGGCTTATAGTTCCTTGGGAATGGACCTGCTCCAAAAACATTAACCTGGTCACTCATCTGGAAAATGTAGGTCAGATCTAGCATCCGAAGAAAGTCTGGTAGTGTCCATCCCTAGATGCATCATCCATGCAAGTTTGGTCTGGGTAGGGCTTATAGTTACTTGGGAATGAACCTGCTCCAAAAACTTTAACCTGGTCACTCATCTTGTGAATGGACCTGCTCCAAAAACTCTAACCTGGTCACTCATCTAGAAAATGTAGGTCAGATCCAGCATCCGAAGCAAGTCTGGTAGTGTACATCCCTATCCATCATCCATG